GTGTGTGGACACACACACTCAGTCTCCCCAAAGTCTTAGTGCAGTTTGAAACTTTCGTAACTTCAAAAGTATAAACGCTACAAACTTAACAAAAAACATCATGTGAAAGCTTAGTTATTCACCTTTCTTCTGTACTTTTATGCTAGACTTACTATACTTCTATACTAATTTTTGTGAATTTTGAGTAACACTTTTAATTTTTGTTTCAGTCAACATTTGCGATCTTCAATCAGAGGGGCTCTATGGTTTAGTAACACATGATATGCCTACAATAATACAGCAAACGAGCCACATCTCATAAGAAGCCTGCAGTCCACTTAAAAGCAATCTTCACATGTGCTACTGTTAAAATACATGGCTCCTAACCAAGCTTGTAGCACTGGCTTGTTTTTAAATAAAAAAAAAAAAATCCCAAGAGCTCTACTTCCTGTCTATGCCAATTCAACTTTATCTTCCTAGATACAATCCATCCTGTTAAAATTCTGTGGATCCTCACCTGTCTTCTACCATATTAGTTCCCCTCCCAGATGATTTCACCCACACACCATCAACTTTCTCAAATGGGCATCTCTAACGATGCTAAACTATACAGAATCCAAGGAAGAACCTTGGGGTGTGACTCTCAGCCAACAAACAGCCCCTCCCTTCAGGGACCTTATGGGGCCAATTCTAACAGAGATCTCTCCCAGCATATTCCACCTATAAATCAGTATTGACACTTTCTGGACGAGGCAGTTCAATCAATTAAAAACACAACCACCTCTATCCTTCAGACCGTACATTTTCATCTTAGTCAAAGGGATTTTAAGAGGGGCTCTGTCAAGTGCATTGCTGAAATTCTCAGCCCATCCCCCTGGTCCCCCTGGTGAGTGATCCTACCTATGAAAGGTAAGGGGAGAGGCAGCCTTATCACAGCTCTGTTGTTTATGTATTCTAATTACAATAAAGCTATAACTGTGCAAATCGAAAGACAGGACAAAACAAACAAGGGAAGACGAGTTTACTTGTAACTCAAGTTCAGATAAAATCTGGACAACTCCAAACAATATTTGTCCCCCCCAAAAAAAGATATGTCAGAGACCTAACCCTGGTACCTGTGAATGTGACCTTATTCGAAATAGAATCTCTGCAGATGTAATTGTGTTAAGGTGAGGTCATACTGGATTAGGGTGAACCCTAATCCAATAACTGGTGTCCTGATAAGAAGAGGGACATTTGGACACACAGAGAAGCCCAAGTGAGGATGGAGGCAGAGGCGGGAGTGATGCTACAACAAGCCAGGGATACCAAGGATTAATGGCAACCATCCACAACTAGGAAGAGCACAGAAGGATTCTTCCCTAGAACCTTTGGGAGGAGCACAGCCCTTCCAATACTTTGATCTTGAACTTTTGGCCTCCAGAACTGTTAGAGAATCAATTTTTGTTGTTTTAAGCCACGGTGGTTCTTTGTTACAGCAGCCCTAGAAAGCAAATACAACACCTAAGCAAAAATATGTTAAGTTTGAAGTCATGCTTATTAATACTGGAATCAAGGACACTTGGGAATTGGTAAACAGAGAGGATGAACAGAAAGGACAAATACCATATGATATCACTTATATGTGGAATCTAAAATATGACACAAATGAACTGATCTAAGAAACGGAAACAGACTCACAGACATAGAGAACAGACTTGTGGTTGCCAAGGGGAAGGAGGGGGCGGGGGAGGGATGGAGTGGGAGTCTGGGATCAGCAGATGCAAGCTAGTATATAGAGAAAGGATAAACACCAAGGTCCTACTGCATAGCACAGGGAACTATAATATCCTGTGATAAGCCATAATGAAAAAGAATATAAAAAAGAATGTATACACACACACACACACACACATATATATATATATAACTGAATCACTTTGCTGTGATAATCACAGCAGAAATTAATACAACATTGTAAATCAACTATACTTCAATAAAAAAATTAAATTAAAATTTTAAAAAAAGGATGGGTGAGGTTTAGATGCCTGAGCAGGTGTCAGGCCTGGCAGGGGTGAAGTAAGTTGGTGAAGAAACTGGTCAGGTGAGTTTGAGGGTGTTGGATTTGAGGCTGGGGGGTGAACAGAAGGTGACAGCCTGTGACAGGCTCCTCACCAAGGAGTAACTTATCCCTCCCAGGTAAGAGGTAGGCATTTCTCAACAAAATCTGCTCACTTTTTAATGGCAGCAAATCATAAATTCATCACTTTATCATCAATATACAAGCAAAACCATGTGAAGCTTCCTGTCTCCAATTTGGCATTTCCCTTGACTATGTTTCATCATTTCTAAATTAGACCACAAGCCACACAGGGGAAGGATCTGTTGGCCTGTCTTGTCTCTATATATAGTGCTGCATCCACCATGGTAGAAGGTGCTAAGAATCCAGTGATTGATGACGATATTGCTAAAATGGTTACATTTGGAGCTGGAAGAAGGAAGGCATTTTTTTTTTCCATGTGAAAACAGGGGAGGAAGCAGGCTCCCTTGAAGTTTCTCATATTGATCTGGCTCTACTGTAGCCCCATGAAATAAATGTCTGTAATGGCAGAACGCCTCACTGCAAAGACCTTAAGAGCCATCTCCAGAAGCTTTCCCAGCAGTAATTAGGGGGATGTATTATTGCTAATCCTGAACACACTGGGAGCTGGGTTAATTTTGAGAGATAAAATAAAAGTGCTGCCTTGTGGCAAAGGACCACTTCTTGGTGCCATTAAATCAAGCACAGCCCTGCGCCAGTATTAATTCAGTAGACTCCTGGGCCCCCTGCTGACGCTCCTTTTAGGAAGCTACTATGGAAGAGGCCAAATGAAGCCTCAACGTGCAAATACCATTTAGCAAGTACAAATAAGCTGGGCTAAATCATGCTCAGAGCACGTAAGAAAAGATTCAAATGTTAATACATTAGCACCAGAACATGCTGTACAAGCAACAGGGAAATTGCAGTTGTCAACGTGTGAATTTAGTCTCAGGGTAGGTTCATCCAAGGAAGTAAAAATCTCAATTTAGACGTCTTTCTACCCCCTCCCCCAATCCACGTGTTTCTCTGAGGATGGGGGAGGACACTGTTACTCAGCAAATGTATTTCACACCAAGAAATGCTTAGGGTATATTCATCTCAGGAAAGGATGTGAAGTTCTCACTTTCTCACTAAAATAGTTTGAAGTGGTCCTTCAAATGGCCAAGCCATATGTGATGGTCAATATCCCTTGATGCGTGTGTGTGCGTGCACACGTGTGCATGTGTGTGTGTATATATATGCATTCCTATTAATAAGAAAGGTTTCTAAAGGGAGAGTACAGGGATTTTTCTGTTGTACTTTTCAGAAAGCCTGCCTGCCCACCATCGCAGATGAACACGAGTAGGCTGCAGCGTTCTGAGTTGAGAGCACATTGTCAAGAGGGAAAGCCCAGCACAAGGCCACACCAAGCAAGGCAGGGTGGGGAAGAAGCCCCAAGTCTACCTGGGGGCTGGGTAGAGATGGAGGGCTAGGGAACCCCAGGCCAACTCTGCTGATTTGAAACTGAGCTGTATTCCTGTTCGAGTCTGACAGGCTGCTTTCCGTATCAAAGCAACAAATGAAACTCTCATTTCAGAGCGCATCTGGTCTCTCAGACCATTCTATCAGAAACAGCTATTTTCTTTAAATCGAAAGTCAAGGCAGTTTATTTTTCTCAAAACTGTGCTGCAGGCTCTTCTGCCTGACTCCTAACATTCAGTTGTTTTGCACAATGGCAAAGCTGTCTCATCCTGAAGAAGGCCCTCCCAGAGGACATTACATGTGTGATAGGTGTACATAAATCTGTGCCCCCAAGGACAGTCTATCAGAGATAAAGATGGAAGGTATTTAGAGGGAAAGAGACACCAAACCACTCTTCCAGTTAAGCCCTTTCAACCAAAATGACTTAAGTCTCTTCAAGGGATATATCTATATAAACTTTTATTGGGCATTTAAAGTTTTCATGGCAAAGGGACAATCTCTCTTATTCTCATCCCTCCCTATATACCCTAAGTCACATTAAAATGACGAAATAATTGTAGTGTGTTTAAATGCATGTAACTCTACGTGATACGCAGATACTCTATGTGAATGTACATCAGCTGTATTGGAGCTCCAGTATTTCCCAGCCACTCACTCAAAAACTCACTGATTTACATGCATTCATCTAAGCAAGAAATTCACTATCACGTCAAAAAGTATTTCCAACTAGCAACAGTTTGAATTGTCAATAAATATGTACTATGTCCCTAATTAAACCAGAAGTAATATGATCAAGGAAAGGTCTCTGTTCAGGGCAATAATCTTCCCTGTGATGCTGTTAAGATTCTGAGATGATTTATGGTATCAGAAAACATCATCCTTGAAGTTACAACCTTTCACATTCATATGCTAAGATGCACCTTTTCCTCTTTATCAACTGTTCCTCCTCTAACAAATGTAAAAAGAAAATCACATTCCATTTTCAATGGAAGGAAGCTTCCCTCCTTTCTTTTGATCCTTCATAGATTCTAATGACATACAAACTCTGAAGCATTTAAAGGAAAAGGACACGAAACCATCTTTCTCAGTTAGGACCTAAAGGATAAAGGAGGCCATGTGAAAGCTGAGTCTAGACATATACTCAATAATTTTATGTTACACATCTTTCAACTACGCATTTTGACAAAAATATATAATTAAAAATGTAGAAATCGGCACCATGATTTTTCTGTTGAACATCAATTTAGTTATGAAATGGTTATAAATTAGCCACTGGTAATTTATCCTTTAAATGATTTAACCTTCCCAATGATCATTTCATCTGTTTTCTATATTAAAAAAAAATCAAAGAAATTCAAGATATGGAAAAGCCATGTTGGTTGAGGATCTGAAACTGATTTGGTAGCTTTTGAGTTGACATAATCTTGGCCTGGTGCAGCTCATTTTGGAAAGCTGCCTCAAATTTCCCCTGGTTTTGAACTTTTTTTTTTTTTTTCCTTACCACTTTCATCTAGCAAGAAATCATCCTGGTAACGGAACTTCTCCGGTCCACATGCAATAAAAATGTCATCGTCACCAAAGAAGTCCTGAAGGCACATCACCTACAAGAGAAAAGCATGGCACTCAGCAAGGGGTCAGCAGAACAGCAATTACAACAATGCATCCCTGCAAGTGGACATCTGCATAAAGCCACTTCCCATCTAATGGAATCAACAGGGCAGCTTCTCCAGAGGAATTTCAAAAGAAGGTTGCAAGCATCTGTTACTAGTAAGAAACTTGTTCCATTTCAGTGGTGCAGGAAGACGGGATAAGGAAAACAGAACCGGTAACTGTCACATTTATTACTTGATATATCAATAGGATATGAGGTAAGAACCCTTTATTTTCATAACAGAGAGGATGCAGCAACATGTGGAAAAAGGAGCGCTCCTTCACTCTTCCGAACGTAATAGTCCCTGAGAGCAATAAAAGTCAGCATCTGATTTTAGCAACAAATACATTTTCTAGTAACTGATGCCATAGTTGCCATACACACGACGATCACTGGGGTAACAAACGGAGAAGGATAGTTATATCCTAACAAGAATATAACCATCTCCTTGAGACCCACTCTACCTCCAGCTAAAACAAAAATGGTACCCTTCATACAAGGACTAATAGAATACAGTGGTAATAAATAAATAATAGAAAAAGTCATTTCTGAGATTTAGATACGGAGGGACTGTATGCCCTGCACTCGAGCTAACCTAAACTTTAACACTCCTGTGGGCTCCCCAGCTTGTAGTCACCCAAAGGGAAAGTTTTTAAACAACTTTTTGATATTTATTCAATTTCTTCTCCCATACGAACTTTGAGAGCTAAATGCCGCTTTCCAAGTAAATGTGGTCCAGATGAATAATTTCAAGCTTATTGCTCTCTGTCTGTGGATACGTGGACGTGTGGTGTAATACTTTTTTTTGTTCACAGTATGTATAATGCCAGCAGAAGGCACCGGAAACGCTGCTGATTTCTATCTATTTTCAATTTTCTTTGACTGCTTGGAGCAGATTGTAAAGCGGTCAACTGAAGGCACCATTCAGAGCTGCATGAAATAGACTTTCTTATTTATCTATTGCACTTTCCCTTGGATATTTAAGGACCAGAGACAAGCTTCCCTGTGTCTGATATGTGAGATATTTTTGGTCTGTGTTTCCTACGAGCCCCTCCCTTATCTGTTGGTAGCTTCATCCACAGAGCACCTGTGGGGTTCTGTTCCTTGTCAGTTCCTGGAGCATGACCCTGACAAGTCAAAGATGCTGTAGGACTTCCAGAAATAAGTTGGGAGAACACTTTAGAGCCCCAAATGCAATGCTGTGCAGGCTTTAGATAGTTTTTCTTAAATAATCTCTCATTTCCAAATAATCGCTTGGCTGAGGTTTTAAGGATTCTCTAACAGTTTGATGGTAAGCATTAAGTGTGAGTGAGGGACATTCATGGTTGTCAGTACTTATTCTGTCTGCAAAAGCTTTGAAAACACAGGTGACTTAAGGGGGACCTTGAAATCATCGAGGAAGACGGACCCAAGGTCTTAAGACTCGTGTCAGAAGCTCTGTCTACTTGGGTTAAAAACAGGCTCTTTGAATTCAGAACCCACTCTCCGTTTCACTCCTCTGTCAGATTCCAACCACGACCTTGTTCATTTTCACCTTTACGACGCAGCACTCCTCACCCCAGCTTTCCTTATCAGCATGGGTATCATCCCAACCAACCCTGCGTAGGCCGTTGTCATTTTACGTGCAGAAGTCCATACTGTGCCAACTGTATGTCCATTAGCATACAGCACACATGCATACAAAAGTGAGTAAGAATGGGAAACCGTGTCTTTTTCAGGCAAAATGTGAATTAACCCTAAAAAAGCAGTATTTCCTAAAGTGAGAATGATTAATAGCATTTGTGCCCCAAATGGTCCCATGGCCAAAGAGATTTGGGGAATATTTAATCAGTAGAAACAGATTTCTTTACTTCTGGTCTTCTCAAAACCCTTAGTGTGCTAATGTACACTGCAACTCCAAAGAGGAGATGATAGAAGAATATAGTGTTTCCCAGACTTATGTGATTCTGGAACTCTTCTCACCCGCATTGGTATGGACTCCTTTCTGACAAGGTCCCTTTGGTACCGTGCTGACAGCCATAAGTGAAAAGAACACACAAAGGAAATAAGAGTTACTTACCCTACTCCTGAGCAGCCATATTTCTCTAGCTGATACATATTTATTGGCTAATTTTTAAATCATTCAAACATTTATGCTGGGCCTACTCTGTGCCAGGCTTTGCGCCAAACTTTATGATGACAAAGCTCTGATGGATGAAAAGTACTGTTTTCCAAAAGAAACTGTCCTTTCTTTCCTCACAGTCCCATCATTTGCATTTTAGAGCATCAGATGGCCAACGAGAAGACATTCATCTACTGGTGCCTATTTTATGCCACTGCTAAGCAGACAAATAACTATCAAAACTATAGTGTATTATAAACAGGTTGCCAGCCAACTCCCATCCATCATAATCCCAGGACCAGCCTCCCAGAAGACTCAGAGAACGGAACAGACAATGATGCAGCCTGGACAGTTTAGGTATAATTCTGTTGGCAAGTAGGAACTGAAAAAGGATGAACTTTTGATGTTGTTTCCAACTCCAGGATTCCAAGAACGTAAAAGGAACGCAGTGATGATTAAGGAAAACTGTCATCGCTCAGCACAAAAAAAGGGAAAAGTCCTTTCAATGCCAAGCAACATGTATTCATTTACGTCTCAATTTTCAGTGACTAAAATCAAGAATTTGTTCAACTGTCAGAAACTGTGATGTTTTCTGTGCTTTCTGCTCTGGCACCATTTAGCCATTTCCCTGCTCACAACCTCCCACCAGAGAAGGTGGGTACGGTCAGTAGATCAAATTCAAATTTATAAAACTGCTCCCTGTTAGAAGCCTTGGTAAAACAGTTGATAGCAGAGGCTTAAACATAAGGTTACAATAAATATGGATTCAGGATAATCTATGCCCTTCAATTATCCGTGCTCTCACTCTTTATCACTGATATTGAGGTAGCTGTAAATGTATTCCATCTAACAATAAAGAATAACAGAAGAAGATTTATAACCCTTTTCTCTAGGCCAATACACTTTGAGAACTTTCCTTTAGGCATTACTGTACATTCTGATATCAAAAGATTAGAAAAGATAGAGAAATGTAAAATCAGTGTTGTGCATAATGATCTGATTTTATATGTTTACACATTGTTATTCCTTTTTAAGTTTGAGGTTCTCAAAAGTCAGAGTGGTAACCAGCTTTGAGAAATAAGTTCCACTTACGGATTAAAAAAAAACATGCTCCTTGCTACAACAAGATAGTGGGAGTTGACCTATTCTTTCATGAACTCTCTGGTTGGTAGGTATCAGATGTTGGAATCATCCATCAATATTAGATCCAGGGAAGATGCAAAGGCAGAGATAAGAAGTTTGAGAAAAGAAAGTCCAACCTGTTCCTGTTTAACCATCATTCTCTTGCCCCCAGAAGAGTTGGTATTGTCAGCATACACCCACCTCCACTGTCTCCATGGCCACAGATGCTGCCTCTGTATCGTCTCCCAAGCCCAGGCCTTTCCTGCCCCTCCTCTTCACCCCCATCACCACATCAGTCCAGAGCTTAGCCTCTCACCTGTGGACCTTAGCATTTCCCTCTCGTGGTTTTTCTCACTCCCATCTCCTTTCTCTCCCACCGGTCCTATTTAATTCTCTTAATCTCCTTCTCCTCAGAAAACTTTTACCATCTCCCTCCATGGCTCAGAAAAGCATCAATGGCTTATCATCAAATTAAAGTTCATCTTTGAGCTTGGCGTTCCAGACTCCTCAAAATCTGGTTCCAACCTATCTTTCAAGTCTATGGTAGGTTTACCCATGGCATGGTGCCTGATACTTAATAAGCATTGGATGGGTGGGTGGGTGGGTGGGTGGGTGGGTGGGTGGATGGATGGATGGATGGATGAGAGATAAATCTAAGTACTATGCTCCAACCTGAAACATGTTCCAGTTTATCTGCTTTACTGATTCTCCTCGGAAAAGGGCTTTTTCTTTCCCATGCGTGTGTGGCTTTGGTATGATTTTTTTTTCCCCATTAGGTATCCCCTCCTACTAACTCTTTGCCTATTCAAATCCCTCCTATAAGTCAAAGCTCAGTTGAAGATCCAAGCCTTACCTTCTCTACCCACTCCAATCCAAAGGGCCTCGCCCCTGCTCTGAACACCTAATCTTCACTCAATAAATGTTCATTGGGCACCTATTATTTGCCAGCCACCCTGCTAGGCCTTGAGAATACGACTGCCCTCATCCTTCCCCTATTCATTTCCAGCACATATGTGCACAGACTGACACTCCTAACACACTGTGGTGAATTAGTAATTCAGCAGAGAGTAACCTGCAATACCTTCCAGTGGTTTGTCATGGGTCTGGAGGCAGGCGGCTGGGGTGCAGCTCGTGCTCTGCCATTACAACTGACTTGAGCAAATCAGGAAACCCTGCTTCTAAAGATCCTAAACTTTGGGCAGAGGCAGTGCCTCCCTGAGTGCGATTCTGTGTCACAATGGGAACATCTGCTCTGGCACCATTTCCCAAGAGCACAGCCCTGTCGTCAAAGCCCGGGTTCTACATTAACCCAGCTCTGCCCCATAGATGCTATTCTCTTTGTGCCTCCGTTTATCATATTGGTGGTTTTAAGAATTCGGCTGTGAACCTGAAGAGACTAAATCCTCAATAAATTTTAGCTATTTTTATTAGCCCAAATATAGTTTTCCTTCCAAATAAGTATAAATCAAATGTACACCTAATATAAACAAATAAAACATTTTTTAAAAAAATGTTAGTATGTAACTCCTGGGCACAACAAACAGCCTTCTTCTCTAAGTAGATTTGGGTCAAATGTAGCATATGGGTGCCCCTTCTCACTTTGAGAATAGGGGTTCTATGGGTATAATTATCTTGGTGCAAAGCACACTTTGAATTAGTATCAGGGAATTGGTGCAAAGCTGGTAGAAGTTGCTGACAAGAAGTTGGGTTCATGCCTCTGATTTCCA